AAATTAATTTACGGGCATTGTGCATCGATCGGGCTCACCGCTGTGGCGTGTTTCGTGCTCCTTCGACGACGGAGAATGCGATTTTTGGGACACCGTGTCCTCTTGATCTCTTCTGACGTAAATCGCGTCGCTGGAGGCTGATCTTCGGCCTCTCGGCACGTTCACTGCCAACTGGATTTTATAAAAAATAATTTTAGCACCGGTACAAGCTTCCATATTATTTAAACTTCCAATTCGATGTCTTTGCTTCGAAGGATTTAACGCTTCCATCGTGCCATTCGCAGTTTTGAAAATCGTCGCAGGAAAAAGGACGCTCGCGTTATTTCGGAAAATATCCCAGCAACGAAACGAGAAGTTTCGGACGGTAGTTACACGGTAATATCACGATATTCCGAGGTACCCGGAGCATTGCGACCAATTTCATATTTCCTGGCAGCGCTCGTCTCAAATTTCCTCTCGTACGGGATAAATGATCTCGACTACTACTACCGTAATTAGATAAATTAACAGAGCGTGAGTTGAGGCAGCGTGTTCGCGCGCGAAACACATGCACGCACGGTTACGAGAGTGGTTTGAGGTCTAGTTATCCGGAACTAGGATCCCTGCATAGTGCATCGACTAATTGTAAATAGCGCTGCCCGCGAAATAAATGCTCGTTAGGGTGCCGACGAAAGGAATTTAATTTGTTTGCGACCCTCGAGTAGGTGACACGATATTACTTTCGTTTCGTTTTTCATCGATTTAATTTTGTTCTCTCTGGTAATCGTCGTTTTGAAAACTACCCAGAAGATTTTTCAACAAATGAAGAAAAAAAGTCCGCAACGGCCATTTCTATGCAAAGCTCCTAAATTAAGTTTCCTCTATATAATTTTCAGAAAGAGCCTTTCTCACAATAGCCGAGGAGGGTCGAAGCATTAAGATCGCGACGTTTTGATAAATAAAACTCGACATCCAGACAAATTTTAATCGAAATTAAACGTAACCGGAGACGCACATTTCATATTCCATCCGGTCTCGAAAAGATCACAAGGGTAAAGGGTCTACCTTGCCCGCTTCAATAAACATGTCAGAACCTCGCATTTCCAATTAAATCGCGCCAAACCTTCCTGCAACCAGTTGCAAAAAACATTTTTGACGCAACGTTTTCGGTTCCCAGGAGCATTAACGAGCGGCAATCTCTGTCGATCCGCGAACTGACGAAGAAGCTGATCGCTCCCGTGTCCCGGGGTTTTTCCCTAACACGGCTCGAATATTGCAAATTATCGCGACGATGTTGGCCCCCCACCCCTTGTAAAAGGGAGAAAAATCATATCGCGTGCGTTGGCAAAAAACTGCGACTCACGCGGAAGCGTGGCAGGTCGCCACGGCTGGAATCCTGCTGAAGGAGGCTTAAACTTGCGGAGAGTGCAGCGATCCGACCCGATGAAGATATTTGCGGTGTGGCGCGGCTGATGCTCGCGCCCTTACGCGACACCGACCAGCACAATGCTCTGAATTTAGTGAAGTACATATATACAAGTACAATAATCCGTTAAGTTAAGAAGCTGGCGAGGACTTAATCTGGACTCTCGCGCGAACCCGAGATGCAGCTCCCCTTTTCTCGCTCGTCTGCTCGCCCTACGCGACTGGATTCTCGAGTTGAAGCATTTTTTTCGAATCCTTGGCAATTCCCCAAGCGACGCCAGTAATTGCAATTTCAGGGAACCGCGAGGCTTTCCAGTGACGCGCTATTTAACGCACCGGAAACGCTCGTCCGCGTGTTACGCGATCGGGAATCGCTGTTGCGTCGCACAGTGGGTTCCTGTCACGGAAACGTGGCGTTAATTGTGAGCAAGAGTTTTTTTAACGGTTCGCGTTGTATTTAGATGTGTTGAGTATAATGTAACGCAGTCGTACACGAACAAACGAATGAATCTGACTTTTTTTTAGAACTGAGTACAACGTATTTGTATTCCTCAGCGTTGCTCGCGAGTGGACTATATTCCATCTTTTCACTTAACTTGAAGTACCTGTGTTATATACATTCTCGAGTTTGCTATCAAGAAAATACTTGGAAAGAGTGTGCAACGAGAGTGGCTTACACTTTGTCACATTTTTAAATGGTCCAATCAGCTTTTTGACTGCTACAAAATCAAATGCGGTAACCAACATTTTAAGATCTGCTTAAGGTAACCCACATGGAAATAATGTAAGCTATCAGATAGACTTGATCTTCGAGTATTATATGTACAATACAACATTTCTCTTATTCCAACTGCGATATCATTCACTCTCCAATACATAGTCCTGTTGTCAAGAAATTACATCCTATGAAAACTTGATAAATTCATCCACAATTTAGTCTATGGATTCCATACAGAAACGGATATTATTTTACATCTGAGATCGGTGTTTGTCCCGCGAAGCAGCACGCCTCGAAACATACAATAATTTCTTGATGCAAGTAGCAAACAAGAGAGAGTTGGAACCGAAGGGGCTGCCTTACACTTTTCCTTAGCCGAGAAGATGAACGCAGGGAGCTCCGAGATATTTTACCGAAACAAAGCTCGCTACACAAAACCTCCCGCCTCCTCGGTCCCCTATTTCTTCTGCAGCGAAAAGGTGCGCGAGTTTTTTGCCGATAAAAGGACTATCTCAGCTTCGGTATTATGCTTCTTTGGAGTTATTGCTGGCAAATGTTGGAGAGGCGTAAATGTACACGTATCGTGACGCTTTTCATCTGGAAATGCGAATGATAAATGCACGCGACAGTTCCTTTCCGGGAGAAAAATCGTTGAGCAAGCTTCAGAGCGAAACTTCGGTCGAGTTCTTAATTTCTGCATCGCTTTGCGATTTTGCTTTGCCATTTTTTCGCGCATTCAATCCTTGTTCCTTTCGACATCTGTATGCTCCAGACGGCGCGTAACGAATCAATTCGTTTGATTATTAATTTATGAGATTTCAGGGCTACTGTAAAATCAGGCCTAAAATCATACTACTTCGTGCCTGCGTGGAGAGATATACACAGCTTGAGAAGAATAGATTTGGTAGAAGAATTTGGTGAATATAAACGCTTCTGGAATATGACACTAACAATGACGCAATAATAAGTGATTAAACTCCATGTTCGAAAGGGTTAATTATAACGCAATCTCCGCAGACGACCTAGGTAATCGGGTACTTGAGAAGAATCCCCAGAACTTCTTCGCCAAATCACAGAAGTCTAACCATCGTTTGCCAAAGAGTAGGCAAAGCGCCAGCAAGTTGGACTCTGAATTATCATGAAACATGAGACGCCTCGAGCTACCCCTGGCGTCCTCTTGCTCGAAGATGTTCCAAGTCCTCCGTTGGGAGTTCTCGAAGAAGACAACAGACTCGAAGAAGAGGGATCGCGGAGACGAAGCGATGTACGTCGTCTAGAATCGGGAAAGGAATCGTAGAGGAAGACGAATAGTTGGATAGACAGAGAATGGGGTGAGAGGGGGCGAAGAAAAAGCCTCGTTCCCGAAAACTGGCTCAATTTCGAACCGTGGATCCGACCACGGGGCTCGGGTGTCTTTCGAAAAATTCCCTCCGACACTGTCAAGAGACCCGCCGCCGGAGATCATGAGTTTCCACACCCTTTCCGTCTTCGTTCGGCCCGAGCCACCCCCGCCACTGGGCCCGCCACCACCATCGACGCCGCCACCACCCTTCTCAAGTGGAATTGGCGGTGTTGAGCGTCGCGAGAGGCATCCGAGGAGAGTCGACCTTAAGCCGGACGGCCTTAAGGGCGTGTTTCCCCTGTCCGCCGCAGTTGGGTTGAGTGATAAATCGATTTACGCCTTGGCCAATGAGGGTTGAAAGTGGCGCTTTCTGATTGGCCCGCGGATAAGCCACGCCCACAGCATTAATAAAGGTTCTGGGCGAAAGCCGGTTTCACTATGCCACAATTCCTGCAGAACGTACCCTCGCTCCAACTTGGAGACCACGGGAACACCGAAACATTCGTGACGATTTTGGAGCCTGTATTTCGAGATAATAATATATTATTCCAGATGATCATTTGGAGCAGATTTGGAGAAATAGTGGACCTTGTAAATCTTTAATTTTTCCAGGTGTGAAAAGGTGATAAATAGAGTTGCTCCAAATCTTCGCGTGTTGCAGCCCCTAATATTTCAAGCAATCCCTGTTCAAGTTCTATTAATCTCTAATCGCTTAGATCGAGAGTTCCAGCTGAACTGCTTCAGCCAGAATCCTGATTCCGGTTCTGACATATTCTCCTATAGCCAGTTTCATTCCAGAGAATTCTATAAGCCTAGACCCTTATCAAATTTGCATGTCCACAGTTGATCATCCCCTACTTTATGCTATCAATCTCCTCTGTACAATCTCCTCCCAAAATGTTGGCCCAGCTGTACCAAAACACTCGGTACACTTCGCCCAAGTGAATCGCATAAAAATTGCATCAAATAATGGACGTTATTCGACTATCTGATGGGAGGAAGTTTGAAAAGTGACCAAAAGCCCCATGAGCTTTCCGCACGGTGCAGGCAGACACACAACAGCGTTGTATACCAGCTACGAGAGGATCGGAGTGGAGATCCAAGATCTTTTCCCCGTGGTAAACCGGTCTGTCGTAGGCGTATCTGTTCGAGGCGTCGACATTTGTAGATCCCACCTTCTCTCTGGTAACTAGGGCTATGTCTACCCGGCTGGCCGTCTCAAAAAACCGACCAATCCGCGATGCGAGACGGCCACTGTTGGCGCGCAAAGTAGCGGAGGCGCCTTTGTCGCGAGGGTTCGACGAGCGCGAAAAAGAAGGGCAGAGAGTGGGGTTGTGTGCATGCATCGGGCAAAAAGGGCGGCGGGCGGTGACGCAGGGGAGGGGAGTCGTGGGGGAGGAGGTGTATGGGTCTGGTAAACGCCACCCTCCACGGTCCATCGCGTGTGTGTGGGTGCGTGTGCGGCGCACAGCCGCCCCCGGGGGTTTCCCTTCTTCGTTGGTCGTCGCGCAGTCGAGCAACCCTGTGCTTCTCGACAGCTCAGTTGCCCATCGCCGCGACGACGACGCGGTTGCGCCACGACGACAGACAGACATACGCACACGTCACCGTACCGGGACACTACCCCGTGAGAGCAGCCACACACGCTGCTCCCTTCTGCCACTTTCCGTTTTCGGCCAGCTCGAGAGTGTTCGACCCCACACCTGCTCGCGGGAGCCTGTGCTACGCTCGCGGTGTCCTCACCGTTCAGTATCATTCTGATCTTTGAACAGCCGCGATGACGGCGACCAGTAGTTCGCTCTCGTGAGTCCCGACGGACCTCGCGACACGCACGACTCTCTGGAGCAACGTACCCGGAAGAGGAAAGAGTTTCTAAAGTGTCGAGGATCGACGAGCAGCATGGGAAGGAAATCGCAGTGATACCTGGACCTGCTGAAGAAGCACGATTAACTGGCGTGGATCTAGGCTCTCGGGTCCAGCGTAGGAAATAGCAGAGGCGAGGAAGACTCCGTTGTCCCTGTAATTCAATCTCTGTCGCGACGAGAATGAAAGGAAGCAGTTCCACGAATCTCCGTGCGTATCGCTGAGGTCCCAGGGAGAGTTTTGTTCGGTGAATGAGCCCGTCACGTGCTATCGCGAGCGTTGAATAGAATCCCCAGGACGAAGATAAGGTTCGAGTTGTCTTTGAACGAGTTCGAGGGAGAACAGCCCCGTTACTCCAACGACGAACACGGGAACCCTGTACCTGATCACAACGAAAACAACCATTCAACGAAGAGACTGGACGATAGTGCGACGTTAGACGCGTAGTTCGTAGACATTAGATGTGTTAAAGTGCGAAACGGAACACGGGATACTCGATTCCTCGAGGAAGAGGAGCCGCTGGGGTTTGCCGTCGCACGCCGAACGTCCGCGCTGCCCGGAGTTCCTTCGCTCAACGGACCGCAGACTTCTGCACTTACAACGAAGATAAGTCGAAAACACAACACAGTAAGCTCTCAATTAATCCCAGACGGTTAACGTAATTCGATCTCGCAACGTTTTCGATTATGGAGATCTATGAGAACACTTAGGACCGCCGACGGGGTCCACCAGCCTGTTTCGGGATTTTTACCGCGCGAAGTTGTCGATAGAATTTCATACTCTACTGGATCGTTTAGTTAACGATCGTTCCGTGGCGGGCCTACACTAGAAATTCAATCCCCGAGCGATCCTAGAGTCGACGGAAACACTGGAAGCGATGCGATCGCTCGTCGCAAACCGTCGGACGCCGAGCACTCGCTATGCCAGGGCCTAGCCGCGACAGCAGCTAAGCTCCATCGCGTTTCATCGTTCATTTCCCTGTCTTTTACCGTCTACGAGCATCGAATCAGTCCCACGTACGGTCCAACGAATCACGATACTCGCTGTTCGAGGATTGCCAGCGACTCACGACGAATGTTCCTAAGAATCGAGGCGTGATCTTCCAACCTGAATAGTAGATAGAAGACCCCAATCGAAAAACAACGATATCCCTCGAATCCTGTTCTCTCAACGCGTCGAATCGGAGTGCTCCTCCGAGACAGAGGTGGGTGGATTTTGAGAGATAAAACGAAGTCACTAACGAGGATCCGCGAGAGGATGTCATTTTGAGCCCGGATTGTTGACAAACAGCTCGAAGATGCCGCAGCGATCGCCGTTCGCGATCCAGGAGCTGCTGGGCCTGAACGGCGCCGGAAACGGAAGCGGAACCGATCGCGGTTCACCCCAAGCGTCGCCGCCGGCTGGCGTCTCGGCGGTCTCGTACGCGCCAACGGCGCCTCATCACAAACTATGGGACTATATGCCCAGCCTGACGAACCATCTGGGCAATCTCGGCAATCTTGGAAATCTGGGCAACCTCACGGCCTCGCGGATGGCCTACCTGAACGCGCAGGCGGCCGTCGCGGCTGCCTTCCTGCCGCCTCCACACCCCCACCCCGCTCACCACGTACCCCATCATCAGGTACATCAGCCGGGACAGCTTCCTGCATCGCCGGCCGGCGTCAACGTGCATCCGGCTGCACACGCGCAGCACGTACTTCCGGGAACCGCCGTCACCGCGAATCATCATCAGCACAGTCCAAGTCAGCACACGCCACCCCATGGTGAGTCGATACCTAGATCATTTCTTTGCTAGATGCTTAACGAGGAGACCTAGAAGAGTCTAAACGGGGGTGTAGGTAGTTGTCACTTAGAGAGGTTGTTTAAGTTGCATCACTTAAGGGGATATATTCACCTGGAAGAGTCAAAGATAGAACTATGTTTATTTAAATTACTTGGTAATTAACCTTCGTGGTTCATTTGATGAATAATTGTCACCTAGAATGCACATATACCTGCACATATCATATACAGGGCAATGTTTGTAATTTAGTTTTAATCGACCCCCTAGAAATTCAAAACAATTGTACGGTGTGCATGATGTATTAAAAGCTCGGGGATTTGAGCGAATGTCATTCGAAGGCACAGGATGTAGAAGGCCGTAGTATGTAGAAGACTATGAACTTGATAATTCCACCTTTGCGAAATGATTAAATTTATGTAAATTAATAAATTCTCTATGTCCCAATTCGTTCATTCATTTGTAATCGAATCTCCAAGTGATATTTCTAACGCTATGCACTCGAGAGATGATAATTCTTGAGGATCGATAAATACACCGAAGTTTGATAATTAGAAACTTGATTTTATCACGCTACAGCGTCTATCCTCGGGAAAGGCTGCGTCCCGAGAATTCCGTTTCTTCCAATTAACACGTTCAGAAACTATCGAAACGGGTCCCGTTTATACTGAAATTTCTCCGTGAAACGCAAACGCGTTAAACCGTAATTAACGTTCTTCTTGGAAGAAAAGGCGGGTCCTTTCATAAGGGGAAACGGTTCTGTCGCAAATTTCTCGCCGCTTATTTCCAACGAATGGCATTTTGCCACGCGCGAAACGTAACGCCGTCATTATCATTAAACCCCGCCCCGTTTATTTATAGATGACGATTAAGATGACATTGTTTCCACCGTCACATCGTTCCACTCGCGAGGCGTGGCCCCCCATTGTGCCTGGACAATTATAACCGTACCATTTATTCCGCGAACTGGGAGCCTCTAACTGCTTCTTTCACTCGGTGGCCAGTGCGAAGAATTAATAATTAATTTTACACAAACCGCCAGCCGCGTATTGTCACCGAGTAACGAGCAACCACTTCATTCAATCTTACACGTTCGTTAAGACCTACATCTTGGGGGCGGAGGGGGTGGACCACGCTCGTAGAAAACGGGCCTGTTGGAGGGAACAAGGATCCGCCGTCTGCAGGAGTCGTTAACTGCTCGCATCTAGACGAGAAATTTACAATTAAAAAGTGATCCGAACTTCTCAACAGAAGGGGCAACGTGCTCGCTACGCCACTGTGTACTATAGCGCGGCCGCGCAATGGCCTTTTACTCGCGCTCCTTGCGCGACCAGAGCCGAAGAATGGCCCGAGAAACCAATTAAGGAGGTCTGGGCTTTTCGGCTGAAAATCGAGGCTCTCTACAATTTTTCTTCACGGAGGAATAACTTTGATCAGAAAGAGAATTAGTAAACACACGCCTCGTGAAATGTGATTTAACGAGGTATATTTTACTCCTCGGACAGAATCTGGTTCTTTTCTAAATTCAAAACGTGAGTGACAGAAAAATCTGCCTGTTGATCTATCAGATAAAAATCGAGACTATTCAGAGAAGAAGTTTCTTTCTAAAGAGGTAACTAACATTTCGGAATCGATTTTCTGGAGACCTCGTAGCTTTACTACCCCCTAAACGCGCCACAAGTTGCGTAGGCGGTGAAAACGATTCGGTGGGCACGCGGAACATCGATACATCGCAATGAAGCATTGATCGGCAATCACCGGGATTGCGTTTCAATCTTCAGACGAGGCTGAACCCACGACCCTCGGCGTCAGGGAACGCGTTGAAGTAAATTAATAGGCGTATCGTGTCGTCCCGGCGTGAAACGAGCACTTAACGTGCCACTTACGGCTATCGCTTAACGGAGAGCCACTCAAGATCAAGTTACCGAAAATCGACGCTCACCTTTGTCGCGTGTACGCGAAAACTCTATTGTGCGTGGCGCGTTTTGGGGCCGTTTTTGGGGAAAGTTTCGCAGGCAGATGCCGCCAGCTGACCCAGCGCCGCGTGAAATCATACGGACGATTTGTGTGCAAATAACTTCTGTTTGCTCGGCTGTAACGCGATATCGAGCCTCGAGAGGCCCAGGCCGTTGGTCGACAAGGGGTTACACCAGGTTGGAGATGGATGGTTTACAAGTTAACCGCGATGGAACCATGCGTATATTTTGATTTGTTCTGAGAATCGATTTGTATCGAAAGTTATGGGATTGATGAAATTGGTGTTTTCGTTAGAAAATTATTTGTTGTTCTCTGATGTATGAACACTGCGATTCTATCAATTTTTTATTTTATTAGTTTGTTTCCTCGTTTTTTTAAAGCTTCCAACGTGATGTAGTGACGTAATTGTCGATGAGGTTTTCTTACAAACGATCTAGCTCGAGTACAGGAGAAGAAAATCGCCTGGACGATTTGGTCGAGCAATGTTAGCGTCGGATACGTTAGATTGGACGGAGAAAACGAATCGGGCAAAGAAAGAGGGTAGCTCTCTGGGGTGAGTGCACTGTGGGAATTGAATATTTTTGTCAGAATAATCCCCAACGTTATGAATAATTAGTGGTATAATGAGTTGAGTGTTGGGCAGACCTGCAATGTCTCACCAAAACACAAAGAGCCTCGACAAAACGTAAAAATGGCCGCACTCCGACAAAGTGTTCTCAACTCGAACGGACTAACCCCCGCGATATCGTTCTCGTGAGAATCCAATCGACTTTGCTCGTCAACCGATGTTTATAGAATTGCAGAACTTTAACGATCCTTGTTTCCAGAATTGTACAAAGGGAAATGTACGTTCCATGTATACTAATTGACTTTGTCCTTGTTCTTGTAAAGAAAAGACGGATGTATTACGCAGAAACCACCCCTGTTTACTTTTATAGGTATAAACAGATTCAAACTATTGAAAATTAAATACATGCACCTATTGAATTTTTTATTTTACGTAAAATAAGCTCCTCGAACATAATTTATCTTCAGCTAATTAATTAATTGGACCACCTCAAATTGAAACGTAAGAAGTAGGAATATCCTGATCGATAGGGTATTGAAATCGCCCAGGAAAAGGCGAATCGAGTTTTGGTAAAGTGGCATAAACGTCGTTATATCGCGACCAGGAGCTTGTTGTCCTGTATAACGAATTTTGAGAACGATTTTCGGGTGTCGGGTTCCCGGTGCAGCACAAAGGATCTGCCCTTCCATTCAAACGTCACTCTGGCACCTCGTCTTACAGTAGAGCATTTATTTGGCGCGCTTCGTTCGTTCCTTTTTGTCTTAAATCTTAGCCAGACTTAAAGACGAGGGCACAGGGCAGCCAACTGCTCGATTTCTCCCCGATAATAAATTATATCGATCGCGGTAGGATCGATGGGCGAGTCGTCGCGACCAAAAATTCGACGGATCCGCTTCGTTCAGTCGAGCCCGAAGGCTGTCTGGGTCGTTCGTCGATCACGAGTCTTTTGTTCCAAGCGCATAATGGACCCTCGCGCACGGAAATTCGGAGCGAGAGGCTTTGGAACTTGTTTGCACACTTCACGGGGATCGTGGATTTCGGACATTCGCGCACGAGCCAATTAAAATTGATTTCTGGGAACGTCGAGGGACCTTCTCGAGCGAGAGAGCTATTGGAATTTTCAATGGGAAAAGCCTGCGCTCCGTTTGCCATCGGGAAACGTGGCGAACGCTCGCAAGAAACGCGCGTTTAACTGCACTTGAGTGTATCTCGCGTGCAGGGTGAAAAGGTTTAAAGCTGGGATTCGGATTATTAACTGTCGATGGTTGAAGAGATTTTTGTAAGCTACATACGTTGTCAACAGAAACAGGAGTCTAATAATACGGCTACTTCTGCCTGTAGCGTCTTGGAAAATGATGTCATTGTTCCACTATAGATGACAAAACGATTCTTTGATAAATATTCAATAGCTAAGAACACGAATCATGATGTTCCCCTCTTCACAAGAGACCTCGATAGACAAATATTCATTCGAATGATCTAGAATTAGGGAGATTATTCTTCTACGTTTAATTTCATGTCGTAGAGTTCTGGTGAAAATTGAACCAGGACAGTCCCGCAACAACCTTGCCAAGCTTTCTTCGTCAAAATCCATAGCACGTAACTGAAGAGTCCACATGTCAGCATCCCTCGCACCGCCGCTCACGAAACTCGCCAAAGGGTTGTAACTACCTTATAAGAAACGAAAGTGCCCCGAAAAAAGCCATTGCAACAAACGAATTGAATACGAACTCCAGTGCGAAAATCGATGACAATGAATGCTGAGGGTAAATGGCGAATCGTCCATTTGCCTAGCAGCGCGTTAATCGGCAAGAGGAGAAGAGGAGGATGGCCGGAATGCAGGAACTGCGGAGATCGCATTGTCTAAAAATTCCGAGATTCGCTGCGGTTCGATGTCGGGCCTTCGCCTTTCGAATGGCTTGTGTATTGCGTCTCGCTCTATCTCCCGCGTGCGAGCAGCTTTTTCGGTTCGTTTGAAGTTGGCAATCAACTAGATTGCCTATCAACGCCTGAGAAGTCTCCTTGCGCACTCCCGTCGGTCCAGTCCTTTTCTTGCTCCCGCGTTCTCTCCCTCTCCTTCTCTATTACACCCTCACACACGGCCACGCGACAACGTTGTTCCACGTTTATATTCCCTCCTCGCCCAGGCTTGGTCGTTTCCTCTCGCAGCGATTTTGTGTACGTACGCCTCCCTCCTTTCCCAACCCCACGATTTCACGTACCCCCTTCTCCTATTTCTCGCACTTTCTCTCACCCTCTGCCGCCTCGTTCCCGCTTCTTTCTCCGCCAGTTGATATCGTCCTGGTAACACATCTCTGCAAACGATTCCGTAAAACGTGCCACAATCGGCCCGCCATTGTTCCCGCATACCCCTTTCATTCGAAGAACAGGGAAAGTGCAAATACGCGATCTTGGAGACTCCGCAGCAGACGTGCGCC